GATGTTGTTTATAAGGCACAGGTACAGTCATGGATGTAGAGTAAGATGTATATTCTGCAAAGGTATAGTCGTGGATGTTGTTTATAAGGCACAGGTACAGTCAGGGATGTAGAATAAAGTGTGTTTACTGGACGGGTACAGTCGTGGATGTTGTTTATAAGCACAGGTACACTAATGGATGTAGAGTAAAATGTGTATACTGCACAGGTACAGTCGTGGATGTTGTTTATAAGAGACAGGTACAGTCATGGATGTAGAGGTAGATGTGTATACTGCACAGGTACAGTCAGGGATGTTCTTTATAAGGCACAAGTACAGTCATGGATGTAGAGAAAAGTGTGTGTACTGGACAGGTACAGTAATGGATGTGGTTTATAAGCATAGGTACAGCTATAGATGTAGAAAAAAGTGTGTGTACTGGACAGGTACAGTCGTGGATGTTGTCAATCAGGCACCGGTACAGTCATGGTGTTAAATTTCTAGAGTTGTCAAGACAGGTACAGTTGTGGATGTTGCATCCCAAGAAATTCCTTACGATTTTCTTTGAGCTGAACTCAATAAAGGTGCTATTAGCGCTATTCACCGATATTCCCTATAGATTGATTCCAGACAATTGATTGCAGAATCTTAGAGAGGTGGATCTAATAAAAATATTTACTTATACAAATATTTTCTTCGGATGTTATCGATAATTATAGCATTAATTTCCTTTAATATGATCAATTATTTTAATACCATACCCTGCATATTTCAGATATCACACAACGGTTATCGACCAGTCAAGATGTTAATTGTTCCATGCATATAAAATTAATTTTTATTTCTTTTGAAAATTGGGGGGGGGGGGGGGTTCTTCCAGCCTATTTTACAACTTTGATACCTGTGCCTAGTAAATTTTATGTACTTTGTAAATAAATAAAGGGTCTTTGTCAGGGACTAGTCTTTTTCAGGGCATAGGAGGCTACTTCCTGGGGTGCACTTGAGATGTTTATATATAACACATTGAAAACGCGTGGATCCACCCATTCCACCCGTATCTATCGTAAGACATATATTCATGGGGAAAAAACTGTCTTTTTCATTGACACCACTTGCTTGATCAATGAAATTGGTGAAATTAATAATATTGTGACGTACTTATACTTTCTAACATTAAAATGATGCATTACAAATTAATTCCAATATTTATTATAATTTCCTTTTTTATTTTACTTTATTTATTGTTTACTCGTATATTTTCAATAATTATACTAGCATGTTTCATTTTAAATTCATCATTATTATTGAGCACGTAGGAAATTGAAATTATGCTGCCCCCCTCCCCCCCCCCCCCAAAAAAAAAAAAAAAATAAAGACCTGGCTCATATTTTTCTCTGAACATAAAGTTTTAAAGCTTTAATTTTAAATCTGTAAACGTTTTGGATCCTTCCCTAATCACTGCTGACATCGTTTGTCTCGGTATCACTGTCATGGGTAATACAAAAATAAGATTAGCGTTAATTGAGCGTTGATTGAATTCAGTCTAAATCTAAATCGGAGAAAATCCACAGAATTTCGTGTCGTGGATGTTATTAATCAAGCGCAGGTTGAGTCAGTGGTAGTGTGTATGTACGGCACAGGTACAGTCGCATATGTTGTATATCAGGCACAGATATATCGTCATAGATATACAAAAATGTACGCTGTAGTAAATGTTACTTTTTAGAGATTATAGCGATCCATACAATGGATTTAGGCATAGTCAAGTTTACATAATTATATTTTCCCCGATATATTCACTAAGCCAGTTATTGGTACCTTTTGGCGATTACAGCCTTCCATAAAGTAGATTTTTTGAAATCAAAAATTTTCTTTCCTCCCTATTCGTATTTTTCATTAAAAGCAATCCATACTTAACAACATATAGTTAAATACGTTGAACAATCCGGAAAATCTTGTTCTGACATTCCGTTTTTGATATTAGTGAGCAGGTACAGTCATGGATGCCCGGTACCAGCATTGCCGAGTACAGTTGCGGATGTTAGCTGACAGACCCCACTTAACTAAATTAAAGGATATTAGGAAAAACCCAGAAAACTGTCAGCGGACAAGAACGGAAAACAGAGAATGACAATATAAACACTGGGCACTCAGAGAAGTATGGGAAGTAGATTCAGAGAGCATATCATCTTTTATTCACTCTGTTAACTCTAAAACACAGACTTTTCAGAGCAAGAAAAGGAAAAATGAATGAGAAATGATGATTAGAATAGCAGCTGAGAATGATAATAAACTGATCAAAGAGGTTGAGTAATTGCAAGTGTATTCCAAGAGATTAAAAAAACATAGGTAATCAAGGATTTTGAAGTTCATCTAATATTTTCTAGAAGTAAGGAAACTTTTTTATGCCCAACCATATAGTGTTTGTCATGTTCCTCTTTCGTCCTTCTGTCACACTTTGCATTTAGCTCAGTATCAAAGCCCAGTTTCAAAGAAACTATTCAAGATATTTTTATCAAACTTCATATGCTGAAACACATTGATGATGGTGATTCAACGGCATTAAGTTTTTGTGACCTTTGCCTGTCCTTTGACCTTGACTTAACTGTTCTTGAATTAGTGTTAGCTCGGTCTCAAAGAAACCATTCGATATATTTTAATCAATTTTCATAAGCTGATAGATACTGATGCAAACTTTCAACTGCATCGACGTTTTGTGAACTTGACCTTTCCTTTGACCTTGACCTAAATGTACTTAAATTTGCATTTAGCTCAGTTTCAAAGTAACTATTTGAGATATTTTTACCAACTTCAAATGCTTATACTTATTAGTGAGAACTATGCAATTGAATCAAAAACTTTTGCCTTTGAACTTTCCTGTGACTTTGACCTCCCTTTTCTTAAATTTGCTTATTGCTCAGTTTCAAAGAAATTTTAAAGTAAACATATGCACTGATACATAATTTGGTGAGATTTTATCAATTATTTTCATTTTTTTTTTAAAGCTGACCTTTCCAGTGACCTTTGACTTCATTGTTTATTGTCTATAGAACTTGGTTTTAAACACTTGGCGGGGCATTCATGTCCTATGGATATATTACGTTACATCTGACCAATATATTGAAACCTTTCATTTTTGAATCATCAATATACATAGTTTTGCCATGCTAAGTAGTTAAATTTTACAGTGAATGTTAGAGTAAGGTCTTTTGTGACAGAACGTGCATTTTGCTTTGATCAGTAAAATGGTTGATACATAAAGGTTAGTGAAGCAATAGTTTCCTTCCAGTAATTTGAGAACCTTTAAGCTTTATACGCAGAATGCCGTTGGAAAGCAAATTAGCCAATAGATTAGTAGGTCCAAATTTAAGGTTATGTTGTTTCTCACTATACAAACATTCCAATTTAAGTATTATGATTTTTATTAGACATGAATATATATATATATATATATATATATATATATATATATATATATATATATATATATATATATATAACTCTGATTTAAGGACTAGGGAGACCAGACCATTATATATGGCTTAAGGAGACAATATACAAATTTTTTAAATTTGCTTTTTTCTAAAAAGAAATACCAGATCAAAGATCTATAGAACACCATTTAGTCGACTCTTGCTTAATTTCTTCATAATAAATGCCTCCTAAAAATATATGAAAAAAATGGTCTCCTTAATATTTTATGTTTCTCTCATATGACTTAAGGAGACCAGTGTATATTTTTTATAAATATAACTTGTGGTTTAAGTAGACCATTTTTCTTTCATAGTAATTTCACTTATTATGCATTAATTAACATATTGTTTCCAACCAGAATAGTTGCGGATGGTCATTAGTCAAGGTCAGCAGAAAGATATTTGTGCTAATGTGACTCAACATGATCAGTACAAAACGTTGAATTAAACTAAAGTTTATCATTGCACAAGTGACTTAAATAGAGAGTAGTTGCCCCAGTGGCACAGTGGTTAGAGCGTCTGCTCTAGAGTAGCGAAGTAAGGAGTTGATCCTTACGTCGCAGGTTCAAATCCCACTGTGGGATGGGGAGACCGGTCCTTCAGATGAGACCGTATAAATCGAGGTCCTGTGTCGCAGTAGGTGCTGGCACGAAAAAAATCCCTCGATGCTCAATGGCCGTAAGTGCCGATATAGGACAAAATTTGCAGATCTCCACCGGCATGTGGTGGTGTCTCCATTTGAGTGAAAAAATCTTGAGAGGAATGTTAAACAACATACAATCAATCAATATATAGAGAGTATAAGCCCAGAGTAGCTTGTTCTGATATCCACATTTAACTCTCAATGCTGTCGCCCACGTGGTGCAGTGGAAAGAGCCAATGCTCTAGAGTCGTGGAGTTAGTTGATCCTTTTCTCACATGTTTGAATCCCACTTTGGGACGTAGAGACCGGTCCTTCGTACAAACAGAGGTCCAGTGTCGCAGTAGATGCTGGCATGAAAAAGATCCCTCACTGCCCATTGGCCCTGAGTGCCGAGCATAGCTCATTTGCAGCTCTCCATCAGCAAGTGTTGGCATCTCCATATGAGTGAAAAATTCTCCAGAGGGACGTTAAACAACAAACAAACTCTCAATGCCCAAAACAGTTTAACCTAAAAGTGAATGCAGACATAGATTATTCTTTAAACCAAGCATAGTATACTCCATATTGTTTTGTTGAGGACACAAAGTTCACAGTGGACTTCAAGTAGTTTTTCCTGCTATTTATACCAAGCTTCTTTTAAACCATATAGTCACTGAGTGCATTCGCTTTCCAACTAATTGATGAAGTTCTGACCTATGCCTATATTTGTTTAAATTCTTTCTGATTTAAGAATACATTTGACCAGTTGAAACCAAGAGTACATGTACTACATAAAATTTCAAGGTTGTGATTAAGATTCAGTAAAAGTTATGCCCCATCCAGTATAGCAATATGTGGATGCCATGTTCAATATACATATTTGCTATCATTAAACTTGCAGAGACCATGAATCAAAATAATTCAAATGCTTAAAAATCATTTTATTTTTACTGCTAGTCAAAATACAGTCACTCAAGCATATCCTTTGTTAATTTGAAAAAAAAAATGATAGTTTAACATTTATTATTAATACCATACCAAAGCACTTCTTACATAATCCAATGATTCATGCTGTGATTTTACCTATTTAGATGTTTCTTATTTACAGTTCAGTATACATGATATACCAGTACAATGTGACACTAACCTAGTATCAGCTAAATGGATCATTACTATTCTGTTTTTAAGAAGTTTGCAGGGTAAAAAGTATAATAAAATAAAAATGTTGATACATTTATTGATTGCATATGCTAAAAACTTTTATAAAATATCAAACATTGTATCATAACAGCTTTTACAAATGAATTCAATACATTCAAAGGTACAAAAATCAAATTATTTTCATCCACAGTTTTATCATATTCAGTTGAACAACAGCTACATCTATTATATAAAATGTATGGTAGTTGGCACTGATGGTATATATATCCTGAGCAAAGAAAAAACACTTCTATAAATGTTATCTACTAGTAAGGCAAAGTCTCACTCAACAAACACTCTGGTAATGTATATCACCTGGATCCAAAATCTATGTAAGTTGGTCTGGGTTAGATTTAACTGCTCAATAACCCTGAAAATGTATGTTACATCCAGCATCAGAAGCAGGATACATCATCTATGTTTACTGATCACCAAAGAGTATATTGTTACTTTGAATGAACCTTCTCTAAAAACTGGTCATTAATCCAGAAAATCTAAGTCAAATCAAGGATTGGTACCCTGAAACATTTACATGTACATACATCATCTTTGCAGGTTTGTTCAACATAGAGTTTATAATTACATGAGAATAGGACTGCTCAAAACACTTAATCTTGTCGAGTCCCCCATGTGGCGCAAAGGAGAGAGTTTGTAATCTAGAGTCGCGAGTAAGGATTTAATCCTTAAGTCTCAGGTTCAAATCCACTGGGGTTGTGGGGACCAGTCCTTCAGATTAGACCATATAAACTGAGGTCCCGCCTAGCAGTTGATGTGGGCACAAAAAAGATCCCTTACTGCTCAAGGCCCTGAGTGCAAAGTATAGGTCAAATTTTGCAGCTCTCCACCAGCAAGTAGTGGCATCTCCATATGGATGAAAAATTCTTGAGAGGGATGTTAAACAACAAACAAACAAAAACAAAAAAAAAACACATGAGGAAAATGTAGATCAGGTCAAGCATCTGAAGTAAATCTGTTAATGTGCTTTATTCCATGCAAGTTTGTCCAGGTAGAGCTTAGGAATGAACCTTGCTCCTTAAATTTTAACTGGGATGACAATGCTAGGTATATAATAAGAACTCATCTAGACTGTCCAGAAAAGCTAAAAAATATTTAGCAATTTCTTACTTGCATGATTTAAAAAAATCTGCAATCTAACATTATTTAAAAAAAAATTCAACACATTTTCTAATTTTCAACAAATTCAATGCACTATGAGACGATTTAACATTTCTTAACCACATACACTGTACTTAAAGTGCAATATACATGCATTATACTGTATGTTAAATCTTTACAGTTTTCTTCAAGTACTCTAATAGTATATGAAATATGAAGATTACCAACAGTGATCAAGCTTTAAAGTCCATTGAAACAATACATAATTAGAGCAGAGCAAACACAGACCTCTAAAAACACCAGGTGCAATGGAGGAGAAAGCATTTCCTGCCATGTGCTCCTTGACATGACTGGGCAAATGGAAAAATCCACAAACAATTCAGTGTAAACAATTTTGATGAAAAACATTAGTCAACATTCAACTTAATGATCGATTGAATTTGCTATAACAATTAATTTACACGTAAGTGTACACACATGTATGCATACTAGATGAATTATTTCACAATATCCAAAATTGGACAATAATAGTTTCTAATCTAGCTAGACAACAGGAAATTTTCATTATTACTTACATTACATGAAACTATTGAAGTCTGTGAGCTACAAATTATATCTAAAAATTATACACATTTTAACAAGTGTTTACAGTTTAGTGTATTTATTATACACAAATGATGACTTAGTAATTATGACATACTAGTAAAGTCCACAGATTGACTTCCAGATTTCAGCTCAAAGGCTTGAAGATTTTTAGTGGCTCTTTCATCATTTTTTATTCACTGAATATTTTCATTTTTATTTTCAAGATGCTGTTTTTGTTGAGGTCTTTTAGCAGTTTGATGCAATCCAAGAACTCCAAGGGCAATTTAAGAACTCCTGAATTTCTTTCTTACCTGGAAAAAATAAAAATTTAAAAGTTTAAAATATATTCAACTTACATGAAGAAAACTAGTAAAACTAGTGATAATGTAATAGACCTTTCAGATGTTCCAAAGCAGCTACATGTATCTAATTAAAAAATATAAAGTTTGAAGTATTTAGAGTCACCTGTACTCTGAACATGGGATATATGTATTTGACAGACAGATGAATGAATAGACTGATCACTATAGAGCACCTTAGTCTTAATTTTCAATAATCTTTATATTAGTGAAAATCAAATAGGAACTAGAGTGTTTCAAGGAATGAATATGTCACCTGCTAGGTATCGTTATTAAAGAGGTAAATAAATCTAAGAGTGGTCAGCTATTAATTTAATATTAGCATGGAGGTTCATGCATTTGCCTGCAAGGAAAAAAAGGATCCAAAAGTAAAAGACTGGGATAGAATCTGGCAATCAAGGAAAATATGGTTCCCCAGTCCTCAAATGAATAATTTAATTGAAATTATGAGGAATAACTATTTATCATTTTATTAATACACATGTAGGTGCTTCCAACAATCCTCGGAGGAAAGGAATTTCAGACTGTCTTTACTTTAATTGTCACTTTGTCAGTCAACACGATTCATTGTGGAATACTGATCCCAATGTATTTTCATAGTATTTAAATATAAGTTTGTGTGGTAACTGAATTTCATACAGTTTCAAAGTATAGTATCATGAGCTCAAAAACATATATAAATGCTAATTATCAAAACCCTGCCTCTCAAAATTTTGGAGATATAAGGTGTGACAGACGGACAGACAGACACCAGGTAAAGTGATCTCTAAGTGTCGTTCTGCTCTGCAGTTGACACAAAAATGAAAGTTAGTCAATTTTTGACCATGTATATCACTTCAGTGATGAAAGGAATGCTGAAGTGGTAAGTCTATCCTAATTATTTGAAAATACGGCAACCCCATTGGTCAGAATATAATACATATGCTGTCCAGCCTTAATTTCATTGGCATAAAGCAGCACAAAACACGATTTGATTGGATGGTGCAACTTGTTTTTCTAGGGGGCGCTGTTGCAACCCTGGAAAAGAAAACAGGACTGGGGCTTGCCCCTAGAGGGCACTTACTGACCGGAAGTAAACAAACAACAGAAATAGCAATACACTAGAAATATGTCCATAGGACATGTATGCCTGCCGAGTGTATAGTAATGCAACATGAAATTTTGTGTTAGTGTATGAAGTTTGATGAGAATATCTTGAAAAGTTTCTTTAAAATTGAAATTGAAATCTAAAAAAAATGGATATAGATGATAAATTCTCACCAAATTATGTATAGATGCATAGCCTTAGATATCAATATTTTAAATGGTTTTAAAACCATGCAAAATGCAAATTGAAGGAAAGTGAGGTCAAGGTCACAGGAAAGGTCAAAAGTTTTTGAAATAGTTGAATAGGTCTTACTAATTATATATGTATCAGCATATTAAGTTTGATAAAAAATATCTTGAATGATTTCTTTAAAACTGAGCTAGTCACAAGCGTGGCGCCATGGTTAGAGCGTCTGCTCTAGAGTTGCGAAGTAAGGAGTTGATCCTTATGTCGCAGGTTTGAATCCCACTGTGGGACATGGAGACCAGTCCTTTGGATGAGACCTTATAAACCAAGGTCCAGTGTTACAGTAGGTGCTGGCATGAAAAGACCCCTCACTGCTCAATGGCCATGAGTGCAGAGTATAGGACAGAACTTGCAGCTTTCCACTGGCAAGTGGTGGCGTCTCCATATGAGTGTAAAATTCTCGAGAGGGCCTGCAGATTACCTGTAATGATTGCGCAGCTATGTTTAGGCTTCCCGAAGCTTTAAAATGGTCTCAAAACATAATATGTCATTGCGAGGTTGGTTTTAGTTTTAATTTAAAAGTATTGAACTTAAGTACTTCCAATTTATATAGAGGATTTCCTCGGCTATGTATTAACATATTTGTTATGATATCACATGACTTTGCTGATCACGTGACGGTCATTTATAATTTTTTGAAGTGTTTCATATAAATCGCTTCGGCGCAGTTGATTTACACAATAATTATTAACATTTTGTTATAAAAATAAGCTCATCGTATCCTTGTGTATCCGAAATGTGCTTGGGAAAAGTCATAGTATTACTTAGATACAAAATATTTCCAGAGAAATTCAACTTACCTACAAATTTGAGGGTATTTTCCACACAATATCGTAATCTGTATTAAAACAAAGCCAACACACATTTTTCCCAAGCAAGATTCAGTTAGAGAACAACCTCTTCTTACAGATTTCAACAAAAATTCTCAGATTAATCCTCATTCTTCACCTGCGCCAGACTCTTTTATACACACTAAATAAATTCTACCTCCAACCACGGGTATAAAACAGAGTACATTTCAAAAGTATATTTTTCATAAGCATTTTGAACATGCTGAATTTCAATCAAGGGTAGGTAAGCGGTGTATTTTTAAAATATTCTGACATATACGACTTAAAAAAACCTTTAACGACCCGTGAATTTTGCAATAGCTACCTAGCATTTTACATGCAGTTTCAAATAAAGTGTAAAGTTCATGACACTCTCCCCGTCATAACACCTCAAGATTTCAGTGACTTGACGTCATTTTCCATTATGACGTCATATTTTGGTAGTTCAGAGATGTGAAGGCACAGAGTGCACTGTGATATTCTACGGGAAGCCTAACCTACCTGCGTGACCAAAATCCCTACTAGGCTTTAAACTCTTCATTCTTGACCTGTATTTCGTCAAATAAGATTTTTCCAGTTAATTAAGGTAAAATTACTAATTGTTAAAACTGTAAATGATTTTTTTTTTTTAACCTGAGCCAGATTTTTACTTTTCTAAAAAGTGTCTGTATTTGACTGTTGGTTCCACCTATCTCAAGGAAATGATCTGTAAAAGCTAGTAAATGTTAGAAATCATAATCTGTTCTCTATCTACTATAATCATGAGAAAAGGTGTTGAAAATTAACAGATGGAGATAAAATCAGCAGTCATATTAAAGGCTTTTTTTCAATAATCAATTTATTAGTGAAAATCATAAAAGTATTAGGCAAAAAGGAAAAATAAATGTTGTCATTAATTAACCTTGCATATCTCTACAATTTTCTGATAAGAAAATTATACCCGATGGATGCAATATAATCACCCTTTGCCTGCCCCTAAATTAAATTATGAAATTTTGATAGATTTTGATCTAGTAAGCAATTATTTAAAACAAGGTTCTTTTAGAGGTGCCTAGGGTCGAAATTCATAGAAAAAAAAACTACAAAAAACGTGAAAACCTATTTCAATCATACTGGTTTATATTTATTACAAATGTCCTCATAGTCAGCATAGCCCAGAACGATAGACCGCAGACTCTCACCATGAACATTTTTAGTGTCCTGGTTCGAAACCATTTGTTGGCACATTTTTATTTTTTCAAACTTTTTACCTGTATAAACACTAAAGAACGAGTGCACTTATGGGCCCCGGTAAAATGTGACAAAATGAAGAATTAAATTAAGCATAATTTTCCATCTCAGATCATTAATTGATATCTAAACCATAAGATTCAACAAATTTTATCGCTGAAATTCATGAATATACAAAGAGCAAAGCCATACAATGTGGTAGGGGTCAGCCGACATTCGTGATTTTTTATAGTAAATCGAGGACGGTCATTCATTTCAAAGCTTTTGTTTATTGTCAGCCTAACATTGTACAAACTTGTGCGATTGACAAAAAATGCATTATACATTTATAAAACTTGTGTGAAAGTAGGAAATTTGTACATGATTAGGCTTGTACTTAAAATATTAAAAATGTATGAAAAGTTCAATGTTTTTCCTATAACAAGCAAGAGCTATTTACCTGTATGACCTATGTTGAACCCACCCGTGGAATAAATTATTTAAAATACTGGTAGTCACGTGAGTTCTACCCAGGTAAACATTCCTCAAAGATGTTCACTGTAAAACATAACCACGTTTTGTATCATTATATCGAAGTCAAGCCACATAGAGAAGTTTGTATGTATTTGGTTTTAGGAACACAGGATGGTTAGGAGAGTTTAGTGTCGTTAAAATGTCATCATAAATAAAAGTGTCAAACATTTTTAACATTCATGCAAGACAATGGTACTGGTATTGAAAGCCACCTAAATACACTTTTTTTCATTTTAAAATTTAAAGGAACTAATGTTAATAGTTATTGTATTATTTCAAACGCAAGCATGCAAATTTCTTAGTTTGATCACTATGGATACAGGTATCTATACAACTTCATTCGATTTTTTTCTCGGGTAAAATAGCACAAGAAGTATCATTCGGCAAAAGTGGATGCTCTTGTGTATCGAATCAACTGAGAGATATAAACCCCGTATGCAGGTGATGAAGGTATATTGCTGAATAAGTAAGGGAAGTTGACGATTGAAAAGTTAAAGTCATCACGTTTATCTTAAAGCTTGGTTGTTAGATTACCATTAATGTAGAACTAAAGCAATACATGAGAAACAAGAAACTACACACATGTGGCCTAAAGTCAGTGACCGGAACATATATCGGTAAGCTTTTTCTAAAGACAGAAACCAATATTGGTCCTATAGGTCATCTCATATTTTTAACTAGAAGTGTTCCTTTGATATACTATATTTTACTTAATTTCTATAGACTTACTTATTAATACCCTGAAAAAAAAAAGGAGGAAAACAGGAACTACCTGTTTAAATGACCCCGACCACCGAGGTTAATCTAAAGTTTGTCCCTGCCTACCTGAAAAACAGACTGCCTTGGGCAGTCAGTAATTTCCAACTCTGGTTATGAGATGCTAAATGTTTAATATTTACAATTAAATGCTTATATTTACATTTTTAAATTCATGATAGATTGAGAAAGTCGATAAAATCATTTCTATATTAAGTCTGTATACTGTATAGGGGGAAAATAACTCGCGGTGTTAATATTCGCTATATTCACGGTGTGAATAAATCCGT